CTTTCCGAGGGGAATATTCCGATAAACACAGTATCTGTTTGAAGAAGAAACATTTGTGTAGAAGATTGGATCTTTTTTTGAAGCTTCAAAATCTAGCCAATTTTATCAGTTCAGTAATAACAAACTAATGTATAAAGCATAAAATATGAATAATAAATAAACGATGTTATTATTATTTTTTAAACAACGTAATGTACTTTTTATCAACTGCTTGTCTGCAATTTCGTGGATCTTAATAAAATATTGAAGAGTAAATGTATAGGATATTTTTTTGTGATATATGATAACTTGACAGCAGATCTCGTAGAAAAAAAAAAAATTACATTTTTTTCATACAGAATTCCCTGACGGGGATATTCGAAGAGAATGTTTACCGACCGACGCCGTCATGTCTTTCATCTTTTAACGCCCACCTGTGGATCAGTATTTCTTCTAAGTATCGAGCCTTAGGGTAGCATGACCATCTCCGGAACTCACATATTGTTACGTCCATCATGATCATATCGTGAAAGATGATCTTTCGCCTCGATGAAAAGTAATCGTGAATCGTTTGTCGTAGAAGAGGACTAGATATAGATTGTTCATTTTGTTATCTTTATAGGCTATTTTCGATTTTTTTATCTCGAATGGCTTTCATATTTGATGGAAATCACCACTGTACAAAACTTGTAGAGAACATCAGAATTAGCAGAAAATTGAAGAATCTATCTTTCGACAACAAAGAGGGAACTTTTCGACACAGAGGGAATAAACACTTAAACAGACATCCTTGTCTGAAAAGATCTTTCGTAAAACAAGAGAGTTCTTTCGGAAGCAATTATTGATTGGAATGCCAATTCAACATTAAAAGACTAACATTGCTCTTGGTATTTTTCTTTTTGTACATATAATTCTGCTTTCTTTTTCGCGCGTTTTTTTTTCCTTTTTCTTTTTCTCTACGTTTTATGTTGTATTTATTTTATACTTCTTTCTATTTGACATATTGATATATTCATTTTTCTTATTTTAAATCATCTAACGAACAATTCAATATGTTGTATATTGTATTTTTGGATGATTTTAATAACTTTTAATTCTTCCAATTCTTACAATGTTTTTGCAACTGTTGATTTAAAAATATGTATGAATTATGAAGGGTTTCAAAAATTTTGATATTTCATGAAAAAATACACACACACACACATATCTTAAAAATAATAAAAAGATTAACGAGTATCTTGTTAATGTAAGAGATAAAATTATACAATATGTTTAAAAGTATGATTTTGTTATTTGAAGATGTTAGATATTCTCTATTTTGCAGTGATAATTTAACTTTTATTGCAATCAATGTGAACTGAAAAATTGTTAATATTTATATAAATTCAATATTTATTATAATTCACAGTAATTAATAAAAATAATGGACGTATAATTAATATACTCTATCGATATATATTTAATTCCATACCTAGGATATTTAAAACTTTCATTCATGTGTCATATAGACACATTTATACAGATACTTACTTATATATAATACTTATATATATTTATATTAAAAATAGCATATTTCTCAACAATGTTCTTTAAATATTTGCTGCTTTACACAAAAACGTCTCCGTGTGAAGCATATATTGATACTTCCATTATCGATTCTCTGTCATTCTCAAATATTTAACTCGATAGAAAGCTTTAACGCGTGGCAGACATGATCGAGTTTACAAAATGTGCACACCACACCGTCTCGATAAAGGGACATTTTACCATCATTTACGTTGAGAATATCGTTTCTATCTCGTAATACGTTTCTGACATTTCCCCGAATAAAAACTAGTTTTTCATATTTCACCGTTGTATTTTTATGAATGTGTGTTTATGTTACTTTACTGCTTGCGTATATGTTTCACAGATTTTCACTAAGAAATGTTTAGCTTTTAAATAAATTTTTAATTTATAAGCATAGATGTTGATTTTCCTATGACATTTATCGTAGTCGAAAAAAATTATTAAAACTTAAAGCTCTCATTTCAAAGTAAAAATTCTTTTAAACCAACTTTCTCTCCAATCAAGAAATGTATGATGAAGCAGCTTTTTAAACAGAAAATAATAAAGAAATAACAAAATGTTTTAAATAAAAACAAAAATTTATAACTTATTAATTATGACAGTGTCTATAAACTATAAAAAAAAAAAAATTGTAATAACGACATCTGTATCCGTATCAATTAAAAAATTCGGAAAGGCTAAGTGTTACTCGGGATGTTCATGTTTTTTTTTTTTAACCTCTCGGAAAATCTCTCGATTCCTATTCATCAGCATGAAAGCAGAACAAATTTATTTTATCTCAAAGATAGCTTCTTTTCGTTTTTTTTTTCTCTTTTGCATCTCGTTCCTCCTCATCTAGCCGTTACCGGCCGTCAGCTCGTTCGCAGATGAGCTTTCGAAACGATGCCGGATGAGTTTTCCTTCCGGACGAGTTTTGGGGTCGGATTTTATTAAGGTACTTCGCGTGGCCTGCGTCGCGATCTATGAGGCAAGGGAAAACGAGTCCTTCAATTTGCACAGATACTACTTCGTCGAGTCCTCTGCGAGTTTTCCGTAGATAAACTTTGCTCGTTTTTACGAGGCCGCAATCACGGTGATCTCTCGCGGTGATCCTGGGAGTTATTATTACCTTCGAGCAAACATCCGAAGAACATTTTCTCACCATTACGAGACCCACCGCGTTGCATTTTGTATATATAACTATAAACATGATGTCTGCAAAGTTAATGGCATGTAATTTTTCGAAGGTACGAACATTTTCTACTATAAATGACGTATGCAATTACATATTTAATGTGAAAAATTTTATTCTCAAAAACAGGCATTCGAAACTCGACTTTTATCGCGATAACTTAAGTTTAGAGAAAAACAGATAGAAATGTATTAAAGGGGCAAATAAAATATATATAGTAATTATTTATGGATACTTTGAAGAGTTAATTTTCATTGCTGTTGAGAGATAGAAAGTTTCGAGAACTGATATTATAATATATATTGGCGTTATTTTTTTAAGATCGCTGTTGCGATAAAAATGCACCGCTATTTTTTTTTTTTTCAAGAATAATTATTAATATTTAACGCCACAAATGCAGGCAACAATCATACGTAGTTGAAAGCACGATTATCCTACATGATTACTGGACTGTGATGAAGGGAATGTGATGAAGAATAGTGAATGCGCGTTCACATAAATTTTTGAAATGTGCAATCGTGATTCTTGTTTCCTGTCTATGTACTAGTTTCTGGTTACGACGCTTCGAATTACACACGTGTATCGTGTTACATGAAATTAAATTCAGGAGCGAATATGATATCGCGGAATATCTATTGCGCGTTCATAATTTCAATGTTAACGCGATGCTCGCGCGAATAATTCATTCTACACGTGTTACACGAGTAAGTTATACAACACAATGTGGAATTAGAAGATTATAAAAAAAAAAAAAGAAAGAAAACATTATGTATTATACGTATATGTACAAATAACGATAAAACTTAGCGGGGCTATAAAATATAGAAATAATTGTTGGAAGAATTGTTGAAAGAAAAGACTGTCCTCACTTTGATTACAGTGTTAGTACTCGTTTAATTTAAACGAATCCGTTTACTTTTCTTTTCTCCAATTGTAGCTGTACAATGTTACAATTGCAAGAAAATATAAGAGCACGAATGTATTTCTTAACATAAATTAATTTCTTACTTTCCGTTTTTATTCTCAACATGAGAATTTGTTTCGTTCCACGTTCGTATAACGCGAGCCATTTTCCGCTCGACTCTCGGCAATCGGCATCATTAACGCACAATGGATGTTGAAACAGGAAATGTCAAAGCTGTCGTATTAATGACGCACGAGCATTTCGCCGGCCGATAATACAAGCCACAATGTGACATTAAACCACGCATTATGGCGATGCAGGGTGGTGATCCGGATGGTCTACTTGGCACGCGTACTACTATATAATGTATATTAAAATCAAGCATTACGAAATATTGAAAAGTTAACATAAAGAAATATATGTATATATATCGTTCATTCAGTCGAGTATTTATTACTAAATGGAAATTAGAAGCGTATCTCTGTAATTTTAAAATTACATAACGTGCCTCTCCGTAATATACTTTTTATTCAATGCGGAATAAATTAGAAGCTTTCATAATTAATTAATATAAAAAAATTTCAAATAATATTATTTTTAATTAGGCAAACTCTTTTACTTTAATATTTTTTTATTACATCCCTGAAAGTTTATGACTGTCAGCTCTTCAAATAATTGCATTCCATATGTCTTTTAATCTTAAAAAGAGATGGATATTTGATGAGAAAAAAAATATTCGTTCAAACTGATTTTCATGTTTTAAAATGAAAATCGATTAAAACATATTTTCCGTAATAATCAGCTTTAAATAAGACATGAAATTGCAGTGGCGAAAAATTGTTATGCATTTCTTCCTTTGTCACGCTGCAGTATAAAAACCTGCGTTTAATATAGGTCGTGTCTAATAATGGGAAAATTGAATTTTTTATATTTCAGATCTCTTTAAATTTATATTCTTTATTGTAGTGCACTTTTTTTGCGTAGGTTCTCGTGCTTTACAAATCTCGGCGCGGCTTTGGGACGTGACTTTAACGCGGGCAAATAAAAGTTTGCAATCTATGTATTCTCGTATATCTGCACTCTCCCGAAAAAGAATAAAAATCGGTTTTTTTATCGAGATTTGTATTAGAAAAATTTTTTCCTATAATAAATACTATTTAGTAATAATATTGTTGCATTGTTATTGCTTACTATTTCTTGTTTTCTATAAAAGTTTCCTTTTTATATGAATTTTTTGTATATTTTACATATCATACATTTAATATTTATATAAAAAATTTAATTTTACAACAATTATTTTGAAATCTTGTAAAAAAAAACATATTTTAATGAAGTCAAAGTACGTTTCACAAAAATTTTATTTGGCATTAATAATTTCATCATAATGTTAGAAGTAAAATCAAAGAAATGAAATGAAGTTGCTTAAGTTGGGAACAAAGAAGAAAACCACGAAACTTCGAGTTTTAAATATGTAATTACAAGTATTACTACTGTGTAATTTACAAGTAACATGAACTTATAATTTCTATATATAAAATTTACATCTTTTCAAGGAAGTTTCACATTCAAATTGATTGACAATCAATATTAGACACGAGTTCGTTACCGATGCTCATTTGTTGATGGAGAGGAATAATCGAGGCAAGTGAATCGCTAATTAGATCACTTTGTGCATAAGTAAGCTATGGCTTTGACAGGGTGATTAATTAATTGTTGTCCGCGCACGTTTCAGGTACAGCTTTTAAACAAAGCTGCACTTTTTCTATCTTTTTCTGCCGTTTTTCTGGCAAAATTGTAATTGCGCTTTATCAAAACGCTCTTGTCGTCCATTGAATTACTTCTCTTAATTCGTCTTGTGCAGATCGTTAAACTTCGTCATTAGCTGTATTAGCATACGAATGGATTGAAGTTGGCTGTCTCCCGATTTCTCTTAACGTAAGAGAAATCCGCTACGCGGTAATCAAGTTTTAATGAGGTAATACTGTGATACATAATGCGAGTTTTTAAAAAAATTATTAATATGAAAGAGCTTGTAACGAAAGTGCGTGTTTGATTGAAATTTATTGCGTTAAAATTTGTATATTCGATTAATTTGTAATTCTACTATAAATCTCATTTGATACACGAATGTCGAATATGGATGAAAACCAGAGATAAGACGCAGAGAATTCAAATAATGCAGAAATTTTCGCGTTCACGTGATAATATTTAAAATTTTAATAAATCGACTAAATAAAATCACGTTTCTTCTCATATACGGTGAAGCGTTACATTTAATTTGATACCGTGGCGATCCGTGGCGACTGTTTGTTAAACAACTATTAAAACATTTTGATGAAATGCGGGATTACATTATAAATATAATATTATATCATGTTACATTTTGTACGGTCGCGACGGGTGTTATTTAGTCACAGTGTTCTTGCATTACATTATCATAACCAAGCTTCATTGTCAATCTCTTTATAAAGTATCATCGATTTCCGATATTCCCTATGAGAAACCGATGGTTGTGTCGGTTTACGATAAAAACAACATGACTCTTGTAATTAAAAGTGATCATCGATTATCTCCCACGCTATCTCGAGTATCATCCGCCTTTTCAGGATACAGGCATCATCGAGATCGCGATGTCTCTCTACATCAACTACTTTACTACCCGGTAGCGGTCTATCGAAAAAAAAAAGTTTGTGTGTGTGTATCTTTTGCAGGTCGGCCAGGCCCTTGCCATGCGATGTCGTTGCAGAGTCCCAGACTTCGACATTACAGGTCGAAACATCAAATCAGATATATGCCTTCTAAAAAAGTTTTCAGTATGTGCTGTATACATGAGAAAAGATATGCGGCTCTCTCGCTCTATAGTAATTGATATGTATATGTATATACATATATATATATATATATATATATATATATATATATATATATATATATATCAGTACCTTGTGCGCCTCCGCTACGTCTTGAGTATAGCCGGAAGTAGCTTCGCACAGAATCCGAACACTCGAGCATGACGTTCGTTTTGTTTACAATCGCGTGTTTTTAAGGGCTTACTGTGAAAAGAAACCACGACTTCGAAACAAATGATCACTTTTGAGCGCTCTGTTGGCATGGCCTGGTTTCACGTAATTTTATCGTTGAGAGATGCACCTTCTTCTTCCGTTGAAAGTTCTTCCGTTCCGCTCGTGAGGGCGGATGTCGCGGCTTTCCCGCCGGCTTAAACCGAGACCGCGCGCTTTCTCTTTTCCAGAACCATGACAGCGATCTGCTTCGTGTGCAACCTGCCGATCCTGAGCCATCAGGTCGGCCTGATATGGCAGGGTGGCAATGGCTGGGACGACCTAGTGCGAGAGCAAGTGGAGGAGTCCACTTTGAGGCAACGACTGGGTATGCATAGACACGCTTTCAGCTCGTAACCAGAATTTTTCGCACGAAAGCACATTATGGAAATTCGTTGGTTTTTCTCATGCAAAAGTGCTTTGAATTCATTTTCGTGAGGATTGTAATGGGCGATGTGTGCGTTTTGTCGGGATATTAAAGTCAGAAGTTAATGGTATTTATATTCTCCTCTGCCTTTTCTCGAGTAAAATGTATTTCTTTCAAAAAAATATGAAGAAATTGGAAATTATGAAATACGAGAAAGAAATGTTTTTTTTTTTTTTTTTAAATTGAAGCTAGAAGAGATTCAATTATATAATAAATATATATTATATCTCTGTGGTTTCAATTATATACGCGAAACGTTGTTTCGCTATTTACTATCTACTTTATTAAGGAGAAATATACAAGAACCTCCCATTAAACTCCCGTTACTAGTTGCATCAGTTTTCTTCTATAACAAGCCGACAACAAAACGACATCGTCTTATCCCAACTTGTGGAACGACAATCTCTACGGCATTACAGTAATATTTGCCCTTAGGTACAGGCAGACGAGACTCCGCGGCACAGATCACATCGATCTCTCCACCGAACGAGACTCAGGATTGCTCGCCGACGAACCAGCGCCGTCGACGATCGAGCCTCGCTCAACTGACCGACATCCTGCGCGAATGGGGTGGCGGCGGTACCTCGACGAAAAGCAGCCGCGGCAACAAGCTCTGCCGAAGGGAGACCCTGGCGGACATCGCGAAATCGTTACCGTGGTCGCGGCAAACCACCACGGATACCAGCCACCTCGCCAGCCTGCGAAAGAGGCGGGAGAGCTCGGTCGACAGCGGCATCCGGAGCCAAATGTCGAACAAATCCAGACGGGACTCCGCCATCAGTGACCTCAAAAATGACATAGCCAGACTCTGGAGCAGGAAAGACACGCTGCTGCAGCCGCAGCCGCCGCCCACGGTCATCTCGCCCACGCCGCGCCGAGGTGAAATTTTCAGCGAGAGAAAAGCACCTCGCTTCACCGGTGGCAGTCTAAAAATAGCGCGCGCGCTCGCAGCTGCGAGTCGGAGCCACGTTTTCGTAGATTTAACAAAAATGAATTTCGACGAGTTTCGCGAGGAGGTCGCTGGAAGTAGATCTTGAGGATCGACATACTTTGCATGTTGAAATCGTATCGAATTTTATATTAGAAAAGAAATGAAGTATTACCGTTTGACTGTGCGGAATGAGAGAGAGTTTGAGGAAAAATTTTGAAAGGGACAATAGGCACGCGTTATCTTCTTCCAACGATTACCACGATGTAACATATACATATTTTTGTGTGAACTCATTGAAAATTATATCTTACAATTTTAAATAAATTTTATTTTTGTGTTAGTGAGTTTTTAAGATTCAAAGTACAAGTTTTCGAACGATGATTCGAAAACAAAATTCATTACAAAAATATATTTAAGTTACTTATTGTATTAATTATATATATTATATAATATGTATATATATATATATATATATATATATATTATATTAATTATATATATATATATATATATGTATATATATATATCTCGAGTTTCTTTATGCATCCACGCTTTTGGAATGACGTTCATCGGCGCTCGCGAAACACGCTGCGGTAACATTTTCTAGACCGGAAGCTGATATCGACTTGTGTGATCTCGACGATCTCGAGCTTTGCATATACGTTAGAATGAGAATCTCGCGTTTGCCTCCTCAAGTCTTGCCTTATTCATGTTTAAATCTATGCTAATTTTGGAACGACGCGACGTAAAGAATTCAGTTTTATGTATATTAAACATCAAGCGGGATATACCGCTGTCGCGGTATAACTTCGTACAGGCGAGCGTCTCGTAAAATTGAGAATAAAGCCTAAAGAGAATCGGATCTTTTATTTTATTTTTATAAGTGTCGTGTGCTCGTGATGACGAAATTGATGTTAAATATTTCTTTGATTTTCTAAATGTGATGTGAGAATGTTTAAGATATACATATTTGTTGCAAGATCTATTTCTACTATGTATTAATTTCTTGGATTAATTAATATACGCGCGTGGTTTCCTAAAATTTCGTGTCTGATCTGAAATTCTTCGTGATTCGCAAGATTTGTTCTCGCGCGTTCTCTCCGTCAGAAGTCGACATGGTCGAGCTTACACAATTGCCATTCCCGTTTTTTTGACTACTACATTTGCGTACTTGTGTCTATTGTACATTGTTAGAGTGTTGTTCTACTTAGCTACGTTTGTATTATCTTGAATATCTCCGTTCTTTCGATCTTCGTATTTACGAAGTGGGCAAAGTAGACGAAGCGTGGTTTCGCGACGGTAAGAAGCGGGAAGAGATTCGTATCTGTATATATATATATATATATATATATATATATATATATATATATATATATATATATATAGTACTAGTACGT